ACCGGCCTGGCACAGCGCCCGCGTCTTCAGGTAGGCGATGGTAAGCCGCATGACCGACGCCTTGTCCAGCTGCGACACTGTCTGCGCAGGCAAGGGCAGGGCGTTGGCCAGCTCCGTGAAGATCTCGCTCTCCTTGCCTCGCCGACATCTTGCCGCATCGCGAGACTTCTCCTTCCGCTTCTCGCTGTTCCTGGGAGGGAGGGGAGAAAAGGGGCGGTCAGTAACGTCGAATAAACAGGTGGGAGAGAAAACCGTCAGTCAGCTGGGCCAATAAACAGGTGGGAGAGAAAACGGGCAGTCAGCTGAGGCCAATAAACAGGGTAAACAGCGACAGGTGGAGAGAAAAAAGCTGGGCCAATAAACAGGTGGGAGGAAAACGGGCAGTCAGCTGAGGCCAATAAACAGGTGGGAGAGAAAACGGGCAGTCAGCTGAGGCCAATAAACAGGTGGAGAGAAAACGGGCAGTCAGCTGAGGCCAAAAACAGGTGGAAGAGAAAACGGGCAGTCAGCTGAGGCCAATTGGGAGAGAAAACGGGCAGTGGCCAAAAACAGGTGGAGAGGAAAACGGGCAGTCAGCTGAGCCAATAAACAGTGGAGAGAAAACGGGCAGTCAGCTGAGGCAAGAGAAACGGGCACAGGAGCAACGGGCAGCCCAATTAATAAAGGTGGGAGAGGGCAGAGGCCAATAAACAGGTGGGAGAGAAAACGGGCAGTCAGCTGAGGCCAATAAACAACGGGCAGTCAGCTGAGGCCAATAAACAGGTGGGAGAAAGGAAAGGCGCGAGATCAGCTACAACAGACAAACGTCTAGGCAAGAAAAGGGGCATTCGGCAACTGCGAATGAACGGATGGCGTGAAGGTAATTCAGAAGAACATAAAACAGAAGACGATGAGCGGGAAATGAAAAACAAATAAGAATAAAACTGAATAAAGACAATAAGCCGCAGCTGGAATTTCGAAGAGGTTATAATCACAGCCAAGACCAACGTTAAATAATGAGTTCACAGCCAAAATAAAGAAGAGAAAATGAAAAGTGAGAGAGAAGACAAAGAGCTTCAAGCAACAAATCATACATAAGGAAAAATATAGAAAGGAGATAACAAAAGACCAGACAAAGGGATATTAATGCTATAAATCTAAACAATAAAATACTTGCGTTCCAAAGACTGAAATCGTTTAACTCTCAAGCCCTTCGCATAATCAGTCATTTTAGATAATTACAGTATTCAAAAATGATCTCTCCGCTCCATTAATCTCATTCCGAAGGAATTTGGACATAGTGTACGAAATGTTAAAATTGGTAGTCACTCCTAAACCGCTGAAATAACTCTCTCTCTCTCTCTCTCTCTCTCTCTCTCTCTCTCTCTCTCTCTCTCTCTCTCTCTCTCTCTCTCTCTCTCTCTCTCTCTCTCTCTCTCTCTCTCTCTACATACCAACCTCACATATGAAAACAAAGAAATTTCGGAATAGTATTGAACTTAGCCACCTATTGCCTTCGAAAGAGAAAAAACATCAAAGACAAAAAATCCGCAAACAACATTGAATTCCGCATAAACTAAAAATAAATAGAACAAAAAATCACAGCTGGCACGCGCCCCCAGCCCGCGCCGGCACCCACTCCCCTTTGTCAGTCTTCCCCGCGGAACCTTCCCCGTCAGGAGCGCCAAACCGTGGCTAGTACCTGCTCCTCCTGCTGCTGACCCAGGAGAAGGGCGGCCTGCAGAAGGGCGGCGCGACGTCGACGGTGTTCCTTAGGCACAGGCGAGCGAAGGCATTTCTGCGTCTTCCGAGGGAAAGGTTTTTCAACATTTTCGATGTTTCTGATACTTCCTTGCAAAGTTTGGGCGTTCTAGAAAGCGAAATTTTCCTCTTTCTTCCTTAACTCTTTCTGGGAGCTATATATTCTGGAATTCGTATCGAAGTAACGTCGATAGGACGACTTCACTGGCTGAACACATTCAGCGAGATCCACCAGCTTTAATAATAAGCAATAATCTAGTCCAACTCCTCAACAAACACTTCTCCTCAAGTGAATAACATAAGCACTCTATAATGAAACTTCGTCTGATTTCCAACAGCAAGTGCGCCACGAGGAGGCATTTCCTATTTCATTATCCTCTCGATATTTCCTCTGCAGTTTCCCTCAGTGACCAGCGGCCGAAGAAGCGGCCTTTCGACACCTTTCACTGGCTGCGGCGAGGAAGCCCACGAAGCCCCGGCTCCTGTGGCCGTGTCGTCATGAACACGAGAAGGGGAAGGCGGGGAACAGAGGAACGCCGAGGTTCCTAAGCACAGCAGCCTCCTCTGAGTTCGGCGGATGTTCACCCCGGCCAGAGCACGTTCAAGCGCGGCCCGAGAGCCGGTGGTGGCGAGTGAACAGAGTCCAGAGTTTGTCGCAGCAGTACCAGGTCATCTCCAGGATCTGGATGAAGGCCTGGCTCCAGTCGATCGCGAAGAACACCTTGTATCCGGCGTCTTTGCCCGGACCCATGGCACGCTCACGAGAACACACGCGCCGGGAGTGAACGGAGGCTAGTTCTACTCTCGGTTCTAATAGGGAAGATATAAGCGCACAAACTAGCTGAAGCGAGCACACAAGCACAAGCACGCGCGGGGTCACGCCACGCCCATGATATCCACAAGGAACACACGAAGGCGCGCGAGTCACAGATCCGACGGGGGGCGCGGGAGAGCACACGCTAAACACCACACGCACAGCCACGAAGCCGCTCTGTCGTCACCCTGACCTTCGCCAGGAGGAACAGGGAATATCAGCGTGGAAGGTCAGGGCGAGGGCGCGGTAAGGCCGTGCTCTGTGGCGGGGTGGTGGCGGAGTACTGGGCGGCCGCGGCGCCGTTCGAGCCATGCACACAACCGCCAAGCATGTGCCAGGACGTATGGGGAAGGGGAGGGGGAGGGGCAGAGGGGAGGGGCGAAAGGTTACTAGGGAACAGGTCACCGCCAGAGGGCACACTGCAGTCCTCTCGGCCTCCAGGCACTCGTGACCAACTTATCTGTCACGTCGTCGCGCTTGCACCCCCCCTCTCCCTCTGGCAGCCCCCGCTCCCTCCCCATCAGTCCCATGATGTTCTTCCTCGAGCATGGGAGCACGTCGGATTCACATGCAGTCCAAGCCTCTTGCTTGATTCGCGAATTCCGTCTTTCCGTGCCAACCTCTCCCCCCGCCCCCTCCCCCAACCCGGCAGAATCACGCGCAAGATTGTTTATCCGCCTTAGCGCCGCCCCCAGCCACGTGGTGGAGTGAGGGGGCGGCCACTTCCAAGGGAGGGAGATGGGAGGGGCAAGGGGTAGATGCAGAGAACGGATGGAAGAAAGGAGGGAGAGAGATGGAGAGGGAGGGAGATAAAAGACAATCGGGTGCGGATGCATGACAAACCAATGCTGTTGAACTCAAACAATAATCCTCAAGCTATATAAACGTCTTTCCTAGCATTAAATAAGAGATATTGCGCGCGTGTTTTTATTGCGCGCGTGTGTACAGGGTTCAGGAGTCGCCCGCGTGTCCGTAAAGATGTGATCATAACGTACATATCTGCGTGAGGCGCTGTGTACACTCTCGTAAAAAGACTTTGGACCACAGACCGATATTCATGAAGCTGATGGACCATCCACAGGGAATAAAGGCCACGGACACGAACCCCGTAAGATGCGGCCCGGAAACAAACCCGCTTCGGAACCCCACTGATCGGCGAGCGGGGTTCGCGTCTCCCATACCAAGACGGGGGCACATCAAACCCTCCTCACACATCAGTACTACAGCCCTTGCCAAACGCTTACACCATCACTGCACTACCTCCCCCCCGGTCACCCTATCCCTTCCCCTCCCTCCTCCTCCTGCATTCCGCCTTCCCCCTACCTTCACTGTCTATCGACTCATGGCAAGGGTATTTGGGGAAAGGCGACGCCGGAAGCTGGCGGCCTCGGCATGAACCGCATAAAAGGACTCATTAGTTCCTGCAAAAGGGGAAGGAGAGGAGGAGGGAGAACGCCGAGGGAAGATAAGGGAGGAAGGGCGAGAAGAAAAAAAAGAAAGGAGAGGCGAAGAAAGGGAGGAAGAGGGAGAGGAAGGACAAGGAAAGACGAAGAAGGGTAGGGATAAGTAGAGGGGGAGAGAGCAACGGAGAGAAAAGGAGGGAAAAGGAGAACAAAGGGTAGTGGGGAGAAGAGGAGGAGGAAGGACGAGGAAGAAAGGACTGGGGAGAAGAAACGTAGGAAATGGGGGGGAGGGGAGAGAAAAAGGAGAGGAGAGGCGGAAGTTGGGAAGAGGAAGAGAGGAGAGGGGGAATAACGGACGAGGGAGAAGAGGGAAGGGGAGCAGAGGGGTAAGAAGGGTAAGAGGGAAGGGCAAGGGAAGAGGATGAAGAGGGAGAGTGGGAAGGGGGCGAACGGGCGGGGTGTGGGGATGGGGGGGGGCGGGAAGAGAAGAACTTGCTAGATGTCTTATTATGCAACCACTACTGCCAAATGGGCGGGAGTGATAGGATTATGTAAAGGTGTGTGTTGTGTGTTGTGTGTGTGTGTGTGTGTGTGTGTGTGTGTGTGTGTGTGTGTGTGTGTGTGTGTGTGTGTGTGTTGGTGTGTGTGTGTTTTAAGTGCGTGTTGTGTTTAAGTGCGTGTGTGTTTAAGTGCGTGTTTGTGTTAAGTGCGCGTTTGTCTTATGCGTGGTGTGTGCGCTCGTGCATGTCCAAGTCAGTGCGTGCGTGTTATGTATGCAAGTACGTTCATATGTGCGTGCGTGCGTGCGTGTGAGCATGTGTGTGCGCGCGAGCGATTAATTTCCCCCCCCCCAGGTCCTAGGCAATCCGCCCCCTCCGTCGACACACTCGCAAGGAACAGATTGGCGAGAGCATCCCCGGCAGCCCCACTGAATGGCCTCCCCCCCCCCACCTCCCACTCTCCGCATCATAAAGTACTCCCACTCGCGAAGGGTGTCGCTCTCACTCAAGGGTGAGCGGTGGCTACTGTCCGGCCCCGCCCGCTTGACACGCAGTACAGGCCCGGCAGTCATGGAGCCCCTCGATGGGCACTGCCAGCTGCCATAACAAACATCCCGCGAGCCAAGATTTACAACGCCCCCTGTGTACGTATGGGGAAGGGGTACGCGTGTGTTTGTGCGTGCGTGCGCCCTACATCCATTACGTATTATATCTCCTGTTCAAATAAACAATT